TTGAAGTCTCTTGGATATCTCAGTGCGAGTGGATGCTCAAAGATTGACCAACTCCCAGGAGACATGGATCACTTAGAGGCGCTTTGCTGGGGACCCACTATGACAGAGCCGCTTGTGAGCATGAAAAATCTCAAACGTCTAGTATTTAAGACAAATTCTAACATAGCCGCTTGTGGATCAGATGGTAAAGCAAGGGATGGGTGGGGCCTTCGCTGCTTATTTGGACTTGAAAAGAGTCGCCCTGATCCTTCTCCTTGTTGGCGTTTGGTGTTGTCTTCTCTAAATCGTTTATGCTCTTTGACAGAGTTATCTCTAGAGAATTGTAATCTCCAGGAGGGGGATATCCCCGATGATATTGGCTGCTTGTCCTTACTGGGAGTATTGTATCTTAGTAGAAATAATTTCGTCAGTCTACCTGAAAGCTTTAGACGCCTTTCTAAACTTTTCAGTCTTGATCTAGAGGGGTGTATAAGCCTTCAAAAATTGCCTCCTCTTCCATCAAACAGAGGACTAAGAGTAAATCTGGACAATTGCACTTCCTTACAAAGGTTGTCAGGTCCATCCAGTTTTTATGGTGATTATGTCACTTGCCGGAATTGCATTGCATTGGTTCAAGATGACGACTTGATTAATAGGATTCTAATATTTGTCATTGAGGTACTCTCTCTCTCTCTCTCTCTCTCTCTCTCTCTCTCTATTAATAGGATTCTAATATTTGTCATTCAGGTACTCTCTCTCTCTAAATAATTGATCTTTCTTCTGCTACAGGGATTGAAAGTTGTAATCCCTGGAAGTGAAATTCCAGAGTGGTTCAGTAATCAAAGTGTGGGACATTCAATAAATGTGGAGCTTCCTCCACCATCATGTACCAACTGGCTTGGGATTGCCTTATGTGTTGTTTTTCAAGACCCTAAGCAAAACTTGGCAAATCCAGCTGCCCTTCGTCATTATGATAGATTCGAAATTTGGTATTCAGATGCACATTTTAGCCATAGAGTTTTGATCAACCGCATAGGGTCTGCTGTGTCAGAACACCTTTGGGTATTTTATCTGCGTCGTTATAGAAATCAACGTCGTGAAGATTGTCTTCAGGAACAGTGTTTATTCGAAACTTTTTTTTTTGATATCGAGGGACAACTAAAGGCAGACTTGAATATGGTGAAGAAGTGTGGGGCTCGTTTGGTGTACGAGCAAGATTTGAAAGAACTCAACCAAAAACTACTGAAACGAACACGCAAATATCGTGACAAGGCAACTCCAAGTGGACCTGGAAGTGTTAGCTTCAACGACACAGAAAAAATTTGCAAAAGGCGTTGTAACTAGTCACCATGTCACAAAAAATGCAAGTAACCATCGATTTATCACATTAGCTTAATTGTCATCAAAATTATTTTTTGTTTCGACATCTTAGTCAATGTAATCAATCTCTCGAGCTATATATTAAGGTGGCTATATTTACTGAAAGGCAGAGTGGATAAGAATGTTGATGTATAAACACTTTTGCAGATTACTTGGGCGTTAAGAAGATTGATTAACAATCTGATCATCTTGCCCAATGCAGCAAGTGGGTACCTTGGAAACTCACTACGCCATGGGGGCTGCTCTGTCAGTCCTGATCTTAAGGTTCATTTTCTGAAGACGCCGGGTTGAATTCAAACTTCTGTACTCTGGCAGAAATTGATTTGTTTCTGTCTGATTTTGTAACTAATGCAAACTTGTAGTCCAGAAACAGAAACGTTGCTAAGGAAACAACACTTTTTGCTCAACAACTTTGGTTTGATTAAAACTTGGCTTTGGTGATGCAAAAACTAAGCATTGATAGTATTTTTCCTGAGTGGAAAACTGGATTGGATGCTGAGGCAATGGAAGACAAATGATCACACCAAATCTGTTATCTTACAAGATTCTAATGTATGTCCCTAAAACACGAACATAACCAAGGCAACTCAGCGGCAGTGTATGCAAGCTGCCTATATTCAGCTTCAGTGCAAGACCTGGAAACTGTTTTCTGTTTCTTCGAACTCCACGATATTAAGTTTTTACCCAAGTATATACAGAAGCCTCCAGTCAATTGTACACCTCGAGGTCTATAAACAAGACCCTGATCATAGGTAGCCTTCAAATAACGTAGGATCCTCTTTAACTGCCCTCCAATGAGTGTTGTTGGATGAATGCATGAACTGACACACTTGGTTCACAACATAAGAAGGATCAGGTCTCGTAATTGTCATATAGTGTAGGGCGCCTACAACACTTCGGTATAATTCAGGGTTACTATATGATTCACCCCCAAAAGCACTCAGTTTATGTCCAGAAGAAACTGGAGTCGAGATTGGCTTGGCATTGATAAATTTAGTACATTCCAGCAAGTCCAGGGCATACCTGGACTCTGTGAGATGCATTTGATCACCCGAGCAGGTTACTTCAACACCTAGGCAGTAGTTGAGACGACCCAAGTCCTTCATGGAAAATAAGGTGCCCAATCTCTGTATCAACTGAGCCATTTGATAAGTACTGTTTCCTGTGAGCGATTTATTATCCACATAGATTAGTAAGATGAGGTTGACTATGGAGACGATGGAGCCGGATTCAGGAAGCCATTGTTGGAACTCGGAAGGAGTTAAAGATAACGAAAACGTAACGACGAAGATCGGAGATGCTGGATCGACGGAAAATGGACTGCAAATTCCAATGGGAACAAAGAAACGGGACTTCGAGGTATGGGTTGCAAATGGATCTCGGCCCATTTGTTAAACAACTTTCATTTGGGCCTAAATAAGCCTACAAACCTAACCGGATGAACCATTCAAACCGCCCGAACCAAACTAAATTAAATAGGGTTTGAACTAAATTGAAGAGAAATGTCACTAACTATATTATTAGTGACAAAATTGATTTTGGAAGTAGTTGTCTATTTCAGAGTGGATTTACCAGATGCCGAATGTAATTATGTAAATTTTCTCCTGTATTTACTATTCAGCAAGGAATTGAAAAAATAATCTTTCCTTGAAATTTTCTCCTGTATTTACTAACCAACATTTTCTTCCATATTCTAACGTTTATAAAAAAAAAACAAAAACATATTCTTCCACATCTATTGAATTTTATAGTGAGATATTCTGCTTGAATTTTATCACCCTAAACCCTAAGTAAAGCCCCTTTAGGTAATCATATTAATGTTTTGCCTTGTGCAGGTGGGGATTGGTAAAGGATGAGTCTGTGTACCAAAGGATGACCCAGCATATACTCAAGAGTAGCTTAGGTATTTCTCGAGATGCTCAGCTTAGAGCTTTGAAGCTTCTAAACGTCGTCCTTGAAACCGGAGGCAGGGAAAATCTTTGAGTTCGGATACCACACTTCGAAGAAACGCTGGGAAAATTTGACAAACATCCTGTCTCTGTCAAACCACTTTACTCTTCAAAAGTTTGAACCCAAATACTGCAACTTTTTCAAGAATATTAGAGACCCTTCACCAGGTAACGTACCATAACTCATCCTGTGCTTTTCGAAACATGCTAGAGTACGTGTGTGTAGGTTACTTAATTTAAGAATTCCTGTATAAACATAGGACGTTGCACCTTTCAAAGTTCATGAGATTTTAACGTTCATGATGACATATTCTGTTGTAAACACCCTACAGAAGTGCGCAAGTGTCTGCGTGTAATGATTTATCAATGTGGTGAAAGAAAAAGTGAAAATTATGTTTTGACGATCAAATGAATTTGCAGCCTATGCATGGGTGAAGTGCGAGAGGGAAGAGGATAAAAATTTGCAGCCTATACATGATCGTCAACCAGGATTCGGAAAGATTCATGTGTCATCGACATGATTGTGGTGAAATGGCCTCAGCATCCGAGTCAAGCTCCCACCAACCATCTGCCAGTATCATCCTTCACAAATTCATTCACACGTGCACACACACACACACACACCAACAAAAACCTTCATTTCCTCATCCCCACTCTCAGCATCAACCTCACCATTCCAGTTATGCAAACTTTGTTCCTCCTCTGGCTTGTATGTCCAGTCCAATATCTTCAATACGTGATGGTCTTTCCATTTCCCCACAACCAGAAAACAGCCTCCTTCTTAGCCTTTCTACTCAATATTTCATTCCAAGAAAAGCTAGAATCCTCCACAACCACCATCTTCAGACATACATCTCAACTTCGCCTCCATCACAACATCTACAACACCTTAATTATCCGACATAAGCATCACACACTCAACTCTCCTGTGATGTCTGAATGCAACATCCGTCCCCTGTGTTGTATCCAACGCATTCCGTACCCAAAACCCCTGCCGCTTCACCTTGTCTGCTAAACCACGCCAAACCTTGGGTGTCAAGACATCCCTTGAAGCATTCTTTCACTTGTCCATCTTCATAGAATACTTACCCACCAATTTCACCGTCGAACTCCCTCTAGCAGTCTCAATGTGATTCAACCTTTTCACATGTTCCCCATCATGAATCTGCCTAAAATCATTCACAAGCTTTTCATTAGTATAAAATCTCCTCCCACAAACCCGTTGGACTCACCAGCCTTAATCACAACCCTGTAGCTCTCTTTCCTTTCCCTAACAACTTGTGGAGCATAATTCAATGCATCCGGTCTACATACACAAGCATATGCTGAACAAGCCCGAAAGACGAAGCCACGGTATTGAACGCTTGACGGTGGCTTCATACAGGGAGACTGAGGGCTGGTTTGGTATTGCTGTGCTTTGAAAAAAAACTGCTGTGAGAATAAGCGGCTGTGCTGTAAGAATAAGCGGCTGTGAAATAAAACCAGTAGAGTGTTTGGTAAACTTTTTTGTGAAAGTGCTTTTGGAAAAAAAATCAGGATGATAGTGTGTCTTTTCATTAAAGGAGCACTGTAACTCCGTGTGCTTTGAAAAAACTGGCTTTTTTTCAAAGCAGCAAATAGCAGCTTCAGCTTTTCCTTTGATTTTCAGCTTATTCTCACAGCAGCTTCCAAAATAAGCCCTTTTTTTTCAGTTTACCAAACACAAAAATGACCCTCAGCGTTTTTTCACAGTGGCTTTTTTTAAAATCACCTCAATCCCAAACGGGGCCTGACTTGGGTGGGGTTTGGCATCCCAATCCCAGAAAATTGTAACACTAGGGTGCCAAACACGATGATAAGTTCGAAGAATTGAAACCTGGTTTCAATTGAAAATGGCAAATATCTAATCAATTGCGTAAAAGGGTTTAAGGTTTCTGACCTGTTGGAATGAAGTGTACAGAAATGTGGCAAAAGTTGAGAGGTATAAGCATTGCCAGAGGTTAAGATGTATCTTTGATTTCTCAATGGACTCGAGTTGCCTTTGAAGATCCAGCCAGAGTTATAGCGGGTGACCAGTGACCACAATGGCACTTTCCTGGGTGGTGTTTCCCTGCACTCTCACCTATCTTCCCCCAATGCGGCGGAAGCACTGGCAGTGCTAATGGGCCGGAAATTTGCTCAAGCAAAGAGCTTCAACTGGACAATAAAATACAAATTGAAAGGAAAGATGCAAAGTCCACAAAATTTCAAAATATACATACATGCACTACAATAGAAAATGGAAAATACGTCCAAACAATAGTCTTCAACTGGACCTTGATGTTGTTTATGTGCTGTGCATAACGAAAGGTATTTCAGAGCTGCCGTTTAAATCTGTAAAATTGCCGCATTTTGTTTTGCAATATACACTTTTTTTTCCTTTTTTGCTGTTGCATTGTTCGTTATCATCCCCAAAACTTTCTTCCTAAGGAAGAAGGCTTAATTTTGACTCTCAGAGAGAGAAAAAAATCTGTATAAATGGGAAAGTCGATCCTTACGCCACAACTGGTCTTTTCGGTCCTACTAACTGCCTTTGTTTTAATCGGCTGAATGTTCTCCTCCTGTATAAAAACAAAAGGAACCTACAATAACAATCAAAAGCACGTACACTTCGAAAGGGGTTCCCCAAATGATGCTCATACTTCCCCAGCCGCAATCACAGGCACTTTGAAGTTGAATTTCTCTGGGATTGACTTCAGGATCAAGAACAAAATCCCCATTTGTCGTGCCTTCTTCTTCCAACCAGATACATGTCGTCTTTGATTTATACCCAGGCACAGTAGCTGTGACTGCACGTAACCAAGTAAATCCAACAGAAAACTCAGGCATCAAAATTATAACTATACGCATAAATCCATAACGTATTTGTTTCCAAAAGCCTTCAACAAATTTATTGTCAAGGCCTCAAGATACAGATTGTATACTCATGTGTTGTCGAAAAGCAAATACAGTTATTAGGGCTGCAATTCCTTTTTATCCCTTCCCTTCTTTATCATAAATCAAGTTCAATTACCAAAAAATCCAGTAGCGGCAATTACACCAGGAATAAGAACAGAAAAAGAGGACCTTCACACCACATCTTCTCATTTCATGCCCTCAATAATGATGGGGCGCAAAAAATCCACTAACACTCTATATCTAGGCCAAGTTTATTGGAAGGAGAAATATGTTCAACGCCATGGTAGATTTTGTTTCACCAAGCAACTAACGATTACCATATGACATACATGAAAAAGTGTAACTATGGAAATGTGGTCTATAATATGATACCAGTAGTTTTACTTCTTAAATTGCATAACATTTCCTCTTTTTCATTTTTAAAGCATCCAGCTCGGGATGAACAAGGGATGTAATCTGTAAATACCCTTATATCTTCCGGCGGGGGCAAGCAAGCTATGGTAATCCACAATTGCTCTGCTAGCTTGAACCTGCCAGTCAAAAAGATGAGCCATTGGTTTACATGTAGTCCTCTTCAGCTTATCAAATAATGTAAAACAGCTAACTGACCAAAAAGGTATAACAAATTATGAAATAAACGGAAAGGTGTAGCAAGAATAAGTGTCACTCCAATGTTACCCAGTTTTCTTTTGTTTGGAAATGTACTTATCAAACAGACCGTTTTGTCATTTATTTCTATCATTTACTCACTAATCATACGGCTGGAAAATATCCCAACAATTCTCTAGGCTACTCAACAGGGTTTTGACCAACTATTCAATTTGATTCTAAGACTTCAGTCCAATCTCACATCTCAAACTGAAGCCATATTATACAATCCTAATAGGAAAAACGACCTATCCCTCAATTTGAAGAATAAAATGAAAGTTCGTCAACATACCTTGGAATTTATTCCTTCGATTGCAATAAAGCCAGGTAACGGCCTACCACCATCTGATGAAAGGATCCTTCCATATACTCCTAGCTAAAGGGTATAAGTTGAGTGTAGTTAAACGATATCACACCCATCTACAATTAAACGTTTGAAATATCTGAAATGGTGTCATAGGAGAATTTTTGCTCTAAATGTCAAATGTTTCACACAGAGGAAGTTATTTCGAGAATACTTAAAATGCTATGCACTTATGATTACTCTTCTCATGATCAAAACAACATGTTGTTTTGATCATGAGACAACACGTCAAACAGCTAAATTATACCTATAATAAGTTGTAATGTTTCAAGCCATCATACCAGAAAGCTCCATTTGTAATGCCTCCCTCAAATTCCTTGCTCAATGACACATTGTAGTGAGAGCGACTGTATACACTTGCTAAGAACCAGAATGTCTCGTCATCCGGACATGCAAGATAATCTTTCCCGTAATTTAATTTCGATCAAAAGACGAGTATGTGCAAAATAAAAATTTATAAGCATTAGCATATAAATTCTGGGATAGTGTTACTTTGACCTTACACATATTGTTAGGCACCATTCGAAAATCCATAATCATATTAGAAGTAATCGGCAATGTTCATAACATTACGGTAACAGTTTAAGACCTAATACTGACATCATCATGCTTGTTTCACACTATAAAAGAAACATTTAAAAACCTGAACACATTGAGCATCATAGGTAAAATTGAATAATGATCAAAACGTACACTCACACTGAGGCCAACGTACAGCCGGAAGAAGTCTATTGGAAATGAATGAAGACAATTATCAATAAGCATGGTTCAGCGCAGAACTTTTATGGATGTAAATTGATTACCTTTTATCCTATGTGCCATCCCATGGATAATTTGCAACAAGGGAAACCTGTGAACCACAAAAGAATTGGTAATGACTAATTTCTCCACATCTGAATCAAGGAATCCAGTAGCTAAGATAGAGAACCACCTGTTAGAATCAAAAAAAAAAAATTAAAAAAAAAATCCTTTGATTTCTCAGGAACCAAACGGTAGTTAATTATGATCACAGATAGATTTTCAACTTCCAAAAACAACCAAGAAACTAAATGAACACAGATGCAAATGAACACATAATATAAAATGCATACAAATATCTATATATATATATATATATATAGCACAGACGAGGAGATGGGGACCTGGAGGGTAGGAAGTATGAAGGCCGCCTCTGGCAGTAGCAGGACGAAGAAAAGAGGAGAAGTTGGGAGAGAGGAAGAGGATGGAAAGAGCAAGCTCCATTCTGTGATCTTTGAGGTTGACTATGAAGACGATGGAGTTGGATTCAGGAAGCCATTGTTGGAACTTGGAAGGAGTTAAAGAAGATGAAAACGTAACGACGAAGATCGGAGATCCTGGATCGGAGATCCTGGATCGCCCGAAAATGGGCTGTAAATTCCAATGGGAACAAAGAAACGGGGACTTCGATGTATGGGTTGCAAATGGATCTCGGCCCATTTAGTAAACAACTGTTGTTTGGGCCTAAATAAGCCATCAAACCTAACCGGATGAACCGTTGAAGCCGCCCGAAAAAAAACTAATTAAAACCTGGGACGTTTTGATATAAGCATCTAAGTTTTCAATTCTATAGACCACACATGTGTTGGTTTTAGAGATTTAATTAAACATTTTTACTACAAATGTGGGAGTCTCATCTATCATACCTATCCCTTATTTGTACCAAAATTATAGATCTTACCACGGCCTTAAGTCTTCACGTCAGGAAAAAAAAAAGGCAGAGATATTGAAACAAATTTTTTCCTACAATCTAGCTCCTTTAATTCCCTTTAAAGATAATTATACAAAAAAATGATTATATACAATTTATTAAGGAATAAAATACCCTGCCGTTTGATTTTTTTTTCCTCTCAATGAAGAAATAAAATAACATTTAATATATTTGTAGTAATCCATATATAAATTTTTGTAGTAATTCATATAAGAAAATAACATCGAGAATAATATAAATGTACCAATAAAAAAATATATATGAATGAAAACAAACCTACTAAAACCAGAAATAAACGTACTAGTAAACAATGTTGAAGACCAAAAGTAAAATGTACCAATCAACGATATATATAATATTAATCGTACCCATATGATACTAAATGGGACAATGCATAATGTATACAAAAACAATCGTAACAAAATCGTGAAAAAAACCTATCAATCAACGAGAACAAAACTAAACGTAGCCGGAAGCTAAAACTAAACGTACTGAAAGCTAAAACAAAACGTACCAATCTATGTACACCCAAAAATTAAAAATAAATGTACCAATCAATACAAAACCAATATATGATAACCAACAATAAGCGTACCATTATCACTAATCAACAATATGTACAAATTCAAATGTATACAAAATAATTATCTAACAAAAAGTATACTAAACAATAAAGAAACAAAAAAATCTAAGCATCCATCATTTCAATTATTTTTTCAATTTTTAGATAAAAAAAATGTTTTTAACGGAAAAAAAAAATTAAAAGAGATAATTGGATAAATATGTTGAGCAAAAAAACCAAAATTATCTCCTAAAAAAGAGTCCACAACTCCTAAAATACATGAATAAAAAAATGGCCGGATAAAAAAAATTCTCTCAACTAATTAAAAGAACAAATTTAGAAATCAATATGTAAAATTTTAATTTAAGAATTACAATTATTATTTTTAATTTAAAAAAAAAAACTAATGTGACCTAATGTACCAAAGTGCCTTGATCAAAATTTTAAAAGGCATAAATGTTTAATAAAAAAATTCAAATTTTGAGCATTTAAATCTAATTAACTCTTTTTTCATAGACAACAATACTTTACATCATAGGGTTTGAATTAAATTGAAGAGAAATGTCACTAACTATATTAGTAGTGACAAAATTGATTTTGGAAGTAGTTGTCTATTTGTGAGGGGATTTACGACATTTTGAATGTAATTATGTAAATTTTCTCCTGTATTTACTAATTAGTAAGGCATTTGAAAAAACATTAATTATTCTTTAAAATTCGTTATCAAATACCTAAAAATCGGAAAGCATATTTAGTAAGGTGCCATTTGATCCGGTTCTCTTTTCTTACTTTTCATATTTCTAAGTTCTTTCATTCCTTGTCATTCAATACTACGGTCTTGTGGTATTCATCTTCACTTAGAAGTGAGAGGTCTTAGGTTCAAATCTCATAGATGGCGAATTCAATATCAAATTAGGTTTGCCCATTGTCACATCGTGGCCTGGGCTCCACCACATCCCGGGTTTGACTCCGCCGTAGCACGATATTGTCCGTTTTGGGCCCCGACCACGCCCTCACGGTTTTGTTTCTGGGAATTCACACAAGAACTTCATAGTGGGTCATCCATCCTGGGATTCTCTTGTGAGAACTCGCTTAACTTCGGAGTTCCTACGAAATCCGAAGCCAGTGAGCTCCCAAAATGCCTCGTGCTAAATGAGGTTGGCATGTACATATAAGGCATAGAGGATCCACTCCCCTGGGCGATGTGAGATCTAACAACCATTGTGTGGCTTAACCGAACTCTCATTCCCCTTAACGTAAAACTATATCGATGTACTCAAAAAGTTATTTCATTCCCTTATTTTCTCATTTATGATAAGTAAATATTGAATTAAGATATATGGATCCAATATTGCATATCGTGTTTATTTCGTTTTCCTACCTTTCAGTTGGTCCAACTAGGTCCGAAAGTACTCATAAGGTAAAGTAAGGCTCAAGGAATACATAGTGTTCACAACATCATAAAAATAATAAGGAAATACAATGGAGGGGTTTAGTAGAGAGCCTTGTGGCGTAGTAAACAACAATTTAGGTCATGAGGACTAGAGGCAATGTTGACCAACTTCTTATGTCAAGTTTCAGGGGGTAAAAATGATCAAAATCGAGTTGCAAGAGGCTAAGTAGTGCGAATTATGAGTCTAAGGGAGTAAAGTGGCGATTTTGAGTTACATGGAGCAAAGTGAGATTAAAATCAAGGGTGTAACTAAAAATAAGCCCATTTGTTAACTCTCTTGGTTTGATCATGTAATTTAAATGTTGTTTGGTTATTTTTCTAAATTTCCTAATAAATATTGGAAGGCAAACAAACTCATAAATCATTATGCATTGTGTTAGTGAATCATGTTGAAAACAAGTCAATCCTATTTAGGTTATGTACAAGGAAGGGTACATGAATCCTGCTCTAGATGTTTCAATATGTCATCAAATAGTTTGGATTGCAATTGTCTCTGAATCAATTGAGGTTCTACTATAAAACCAATTGGCTATATGGAGAGTAGTCTAACTACTTATAAACTCATGCAAGGTCCTTTCTCCCATCAATGTATGACTCATTCTCAACATGCCCCTCATGTGTGTCAATTTTTCAAGTCTAACACGTGGATAACACAACTGGGTGACATCAAGCATGTGTGGTCGTTTTACCGTTTGACTTCACACGTGAGACAACTTGTTCTGGAACTATGAAGAAATTGAGGTTCCACCATAAAACTAATTGGTTGTATACAGAGTAGCCCAACTACAGATTTCATACCAAAATCGAAAACCCTTATCAATTCCATCTGACCCGGGAAAAAATTTGGTGAGTCCTTGAGTCAAGGCTACACTAAATTAGAGACTTTCTCGACCTTCTCAGGTACTGCAGAATGGTCCAAAAAAGAATGACAGAAGTTTTATAGTGGGTGACATAAATATTTTCCTCTTAACAAAACAAAGAGACATGAAATCCATTTTAGAAGAAAGTTGGGAACTTTCTCGAAAATCTTGCACCCAGTCACTCTGGTGAGGAGAAATGTTAAAGGAAACCAGGAAGCTTCCTGGAAAGTTGGTCTTCCACTTTTTTTTTTGTGGAAAATAATTATCCTTTCACTTTTGTCCTACATTTGTTAACGTGTTCCTTTTAGCTTTTCCTCTTGACTGAATATTGGAAAGTGGACAGCTTTTGCATCGGGATTTCCATGTTGCTTCTTTCAAGGAGATTTACATTGATTGCACCGAAATATTAGAGCGTTGTGGCTCAATTTTGCATCCTATATTAACTTTGTGACATAACAACACGTAATAAATTATTTATACCGTTGTCTTAACGTTTCTGTTTCACATTAGAGGAAAAAAAAGAAAAGAATGAATGTTACTAAGTGTTTAACCATATCTTATCCATAGCTTCTCTTTCTTTTCTTTTTTTTTTTAGGACCATTACCAACTGTTTTTTATAAGGAATTTATATGGTACTCAAGAATATGAGATACTCCGAATGTTTTAACCATTACATCTTTGTTTAAAAATACAAATATCATTCACTTAGTATTACGGCTTATTGATATTTATCTTCACTTGTAAGAAGAGGTCTTAGGTTCGATTCTCGTCAAAGACGAATTTAAATCACATTATTGCTTGCTAGCCCATTGTGAGGCAAAACCCACCTCTTCCCTTAGTGTAAATAATATCGTTTGCTAAAAAAAAAATACAAATAGCAAAATATAACAGTTATAACACCTGAGTATCAACTTAGTACTACGATCCAGTGATATTCCTTTTCACTTATAAGTGAAAGGTGATCTTAAGTTTGATTCTCGTCAAAAACGAATTTGAATCAAATTATTGCTGGCCGATTGTGAAGTTAAACTCACCCCCTCTCCCTTTAGTATAGAAAATATCGTTTGTTCAAAAAACAAAAAAATCTGAGTATCCCATACTACAAACCATCCTAATTTTTTTTGTTCTTCTCCCACTTTAGGATTTAGGTAAACAGTCATACTAACTTTTCTTTGTCAAACAAATAATTCACCATCTAACACTATAACCCACACTAAACCGTGCGGTGACCACCACCACTACTACCAATAGAAGTACTCCGGTTATCCATCTCTCTCCCGTTTATTTCCATTCCTACTTCTCTCTGTCTCTCAATTTTCTCTCTCCTACAACTTTGCTGTGAGAATTTTCAGTGTGATTTTTTCTGCTCCTTTTCTTACCATTTGTCACTTACACATCTATATAACACTCAGTGTTCCTTTGTCTGTTTTTTAGGAACCGAAAGGCGTATGCTGCCTTTGGATTACAATTGTTTCAAATACTACTTAGGCTTCAGATTTCATACAAAAATCGAAAACCCTTATCAATTGTGCATCTGACTGGGAACAAATTTGGTGAGCCCTTGAGTCAGGGCTACACTAGATTAGAATAGGGATGGTTCAAAAAACCGAATCGATACAAAACCAAACTAAACTGAAATTGGTTAGTTTGGTTTCGGTTTTTATGGTTCAAAAACCGAACTGAAGTAACACTTAAAACGATGTCGTTTTTGTAATTTTGTCTTTTACGGGAGGACAGTGCGTTGTTGTGTATATATACACTTGTATAAACAAATTGTTGTGCTTTTATATAGATACTGAGGATGTGGTTGTGTTTCTTGTAAAAGTGATTATCATTAACATAATTCACTCTATACAAATATATCAAAGATCATATTGTGGCTCATACTTTTCATCGTACATACCGTCGCTGTATTATTTATTAGCGGGCATCTGATTGACAGTAAGAGTTCTTTTGCAGAACCATATGATCCAATTATCTTTCTGCCTATTATGGGCAGAAATGGGTAATTGATCGTTTTAGCCTCAATTGTTTTGGTAGAGTTTAATTGATATTGTTGTAGTCATTGTCTTTGGACAAACATGTTTCATGCAGTACATTATTTGGGTTTGCTGCTAAGCCTCCACACAGTTTGATTTTCTATTCCTGATGATATTTTTCAGATTTAAAAAATAATAATCAGGTTTTCTATAAAACAAAATCGAATAGAACTGAAAAAAATCGAACCGAAGTTAAATCAAGAAAAAATCAAACCAAACAATAATTTCGATTTGATTTTCAATTTTGACAAAAAACTGAAAAGATTGAATTTGAACCTACTCCTAAATTATAGAATTTCTCGACGCACAGCATACTGGTTCCAAAAATGATGAGAAAAGTTTTATAGTGGGTGACATAATTATCTTCCTCTTGAAAAAAAACAGAGACATGAAATCTTTTCTTAGAAGAACGATAACATGTCCCAACAAGGAATGGAAATATGCAATAGTCGGTCTGCCACTTTTATGGTGGAAAATAATTGTCCTTCAACTTTGGTGTTTCTCTTGAACGGAGTATTGGAAAGTGGACAGCTCTTATATAGAGATTTCCTTGTTGCTTTTTTTTCAGAGGGATTTAACTTGCACCAAAACCTTAGGTGGGACTTAAATTTATCTCCACCTCACATCGTATTTTAACATTGTGATATGAAAATACCTAATAGATTAATTACACCGTTGTCTTGGCACTCCCGTTTCACATAAATAAAAAAGAGTGAGTGACTAATAACCATAACTTCTCTTTCTATTTTTGGACCATAACTTCTCAACCGTACATCATGAATTATGCGGTCAGAAATCATTTTACTTTTATTATTTTAAATTAAACACAAATAATATCTGATAAAAAATGACTACACGATATATGATAAACAGATAAGATGTGAGAATCCTTAAAATCCTTACCTAATGCATCCGGAGAGGATCCGTGTTCATCAAAATATAATAGATATAACACCCTACAAGCCACCCTAAATTTTTTGTTCTTTTACTCTTAGTTTAAGTCATCCAAACAATCATACTGACTTTTCTTTGTCAACAAAAAATTATCATCTGACACTATAACCACACTGAACCGTGTTGTCACCACCACCACTCCTACCAACAGATAAAACTGCGGCTGTCCAAGTGTCCATCTTTCTGTGTTTTCTAGGAACCGAAGGGCATAGGCGGCCTTTCATTTTCTCTGTGCTGATGGGAACCAAAAGAAAACCATCCACTGCCTTGTACTATTGGCTGCATTATTTCTTTACTTTTTTACATTGGTAACAAACGAATTAACGGAACATAATTTAAAAAAAAAGGAAAATTTTGAAATAGGTTCAATTTTATAAGCTTACTTTAGAAATAGATCCAATTTTTAGTGATTTTTTATTTTTAAAATAGGTTCAAGTTTTAGTTACTTTGGACTCATATCAAAATACCCCTTTTTATCCGTTGATCTTCTAACATGAATATATATTCTGGGGTGTGTTATTCACACGAAACTTTAGAGTTGCGTGGCTCAAATTTATCCTCACTTCACATTGTATTTTAACTTTATGACATGAAAACACGTAATAAATTAATTACACCATTATTTTAACGTTTTTGTTTCATATAAAAAATTAAATTTTTATTTAAAAATACAAATATCAAAATATAATGGTTATAATAGTATACCTTACTATAGACCACCATAAATTTTTTGTTCTTTTGCTCCTACTTCAGGTAAACGATCATATTAACTTTTCTTTGTCAAAAAAAAAAAATTTCACAATCTAACACTATGACCCACACTAAACCGTGTTGTCACCAACACCCCTACTACCAATAAAGTACTCGGGCTGTCTTCCTCTATTTTTTAGAAATGAGAAAGGCTTACGGTTGTTTAACTAAATTAACCAATAAGTTTAGAGGAAAATTAATGAAAAAAATTTAAAAATTTTGAGTCTTAATGATAATGACAAAATAAAGAGTAAAGTGAATAGTATCAGGTTTGACTTTTTAATGTAAAAATGTGGTTTTTCATTAAAGTTAACAGTACCGTGGACTTTTCGTTAAAACTCCCTGAATTTAAACTTAAAACTAATACGAAACCAATGAATTGTTACAGAGAAGTCAAAAGTCTTACAGAGAAATTAAAACTAAAATTTTGACTCTTTTACTCCTACTTAGGTAAACAGTCATGCTAACTTGAAGAAATAATTCACCGTCTGCCACTATCAGTCTATCACCAACACTAAACCGTGTGGTCCCCACCACCACTGCCGGTAGAAGTAGTACTCGGCTGTCCATCTCTTTCCCATTTGTTACAACTGTTCTGTGTGAATTTTCAATGTGATTTTTCTGCTTCTTTCTTTGCCATTGTCACTTTTCTCTGCCTGTGTAAGTTTGTGTTGATCCTGTATTTTGTTTTTCTGGTTTCTCTGAGCCCTTAATCTCATTTGCTTAATGTACAATTTCAATTACCAAAACAAGATTTAAAGTTTCTATTTTCTTGTCACTGCTCATTTTTCTTTTACTTGTTCATTGACTACTATTTTTGTTTTTGTTTGCAGAACCCATTTTTCAGTAACTGAATATGATTCAACGAGTTTAAACTGAGTTATAGGGGACTGTAAGATCAAATCGAATTGTCAAATTTGTGTTGGCACTGAGTCAAATATCTGATCGCAGTGAGTCCTTGTAGTTCCGAATAAAAATTGGATATTGTAGATTACCAAAAGAAGATATAAAGTTTCAATTTTTTTTTTTAATTTTAGAACATGGATCTTCTATTCTTTTTACTTGTTCATCCAGTTACTGTTTCATGTTTGCAGCACCCAATTTACAGCAACTGTCTTTTCCTATGGCGTTGAGCACCCAAATAGCCTCTGCATCTTTTCTTTCGAATGAATCAGCTCCTCGATGGAAGTATGACGTGTTTTTGAGTTTTAGGGGTGTAGACACCCGCAAGGGCTTTGTATCCCATTTACACCATGAATTGTCCAAGTGCCAAGGAATTACGACTTTCATGGACGATCGAGAGCTTGAAGGAGGAACAAGTATTCATCCTGAGCTCCGAAGGGCGATCGAAGAATCGCATATTGCAATTGTTGTTCTCTCACCAAACTATGCTTCTTCCAAATGGTGCTTGGACGAACTTACAATCATTCTTCGATGCATGGAATCCAGGAACTCAGTTCTGCCGGTCTTTTATCAGACAGATCCATCTGACGTCGGAAATCAACGGGGATGTTTTGCCGAAGCCTTCGCGAAGCATGAACAAAATTCGAGCAGTACCGAAGATAAAGAGAAGGTGGTCCAATGGAAAGCTGATCTAAAAAAAGTGTCCAAAATTTGTGGTTGGCACTCGAAGGAATCTAAGTAAGCAAGCATGAACAACTTTAATTTCCTATGTCTTAGCAGAGTCAAAATTGGATGCTTCATTTATGTTTTTTTGATTGGTTATTTCATACCATGTAGGAGTGAAAGTGAGATTATACAACAACTCGTCGTAAGTGTGTGGAGGAAAGTGCACGCTACATTCCGGTTGTTAGATTCCTCACAGAAATTAGTTGGGGTTAATTTTGGGCTTGAGCAACTAAGTTCGTTGTTAGCTCATGATGTCAATGATGTTCGCTTTATAGGGTTAACGGGGATGGGTGGCATTGGTAAGACAACCCTTGCCAAGCTAGTTTATGATAGAATCTTCCATCATTTTGAAGTTCCCTGCTTTCTTGAAAACGTTAGAGAGGCTTCTAAAGCAGACCCTACTCTAATTCGTCTTCAAGAAACACTTCTTTCACCGATGTTGAAAGAAAAGATTCTTACGCAACAATGGGGAATCAATTACACCAAGAGATGCTTATGGAACAAAAAGGTTCTTCTTGTACTTGATGATGTGGATCACATAAACCAGCTACAAGTACTAGCTGGAAAGGAAGATTGGTTTGGCAGGGGAAGTAGAATTATCATTACAACTAGAAATGAACGTCTGCTAGTCCAGCATGACATAACATTATGTCATAATGTCAAAGTGTTAGATAAAGACGCAGCTCTTGCATTGTTTAGCCTACATGCCTTTAAGAAAAATATGCCTGAGGATGGGTTTTGGGAACTGTCAACATATTTCATTAATTATGCTGGAGGCCTTCCATTAGCTCTTGAAACTTTGGGTCGGCATTGTTTAAGAGAAGGCTAGACACTTGGAATAGTGTGTGGGATAATCTGTCAAAAATTCCTAATCCAGCAATTTTTGATAAACTTAAAGTAAGTTATGATGGACTAGAAGAGTGGGAGAAGAGAATTTTTCTTGATGTTGCATGTTTCCACAAAGGGAAGTACACGAAGGAAGTAATTAAAATGCTAGATAATTCTTTTGGAATTTCTAGTAGTATTATGATAGATGTACTAATTGAGAGATCTCTCATCTATCAAGATCATAGAAAATGCATATGGATGCATGATTTGATTCAAGAAATGGCATGGACAGTTATTGTTCAAGAGTCTAAAGAGTCTGGTCAACGCAGTAGGTTGTGGCTTTACAATGACATTGATCATATATTCACGACGAATACGGTAAGAAGTGGTATACTAAGTTTAGAAGAAGATATGATTTCTTTTGACACTATATTATTATATGAAATTAATTCGTCATTTTTTTCCTTAATTGTTAGGGAACAGGAGCAATTGAAGCCATATCCTTACACCTACTCAAAGTAGAAGAGGTACGCCAGTGGAATTGTGAAGCCTTCTCTAAGATGGATGGATTGAGGTTTTTGGAATTCGATAATTTGATATTTTCTTCAGGCCCCAAATTTCTTCCATGTTCCTTGAGAATTATAAATTGGAGTTGGTATCCTTCTAATTTTCTTCCAACCAGCTTTCGCCCGCACTTGCTTGCTAAACTTGAGATGCGTAATAGCAATCTTGTTCGTCTATGGGAGGGAAAAATGGTAAGAGTAGTTATGAACAAAAGATAATATTGGTTACTCACTACTCACCTTTTGATTTTGTCAAATGATATTTTAACACATTATTTTAAAAAATAGTAGACGTGTTATTTAATTTTTCTTGAGTTTTAAAATCAAGGAATGCTTGATATTTTTTTATTGTACAATCCTGAAGGTCCCAAATTTCTTCCATATTCATTGAGAATAAATGCTATTTAATTTACAAAATAATCATATATTTATTTATTTATTATTTTGAATAAACTTTAAGGTTGTGGAAGCTAAGTATATGATCTGAACCTTATCGATGATGTTGTGCAGGACTTACCCAACTTAAAACATATCAATATTAGCTACTCCTATAAATTGAAGAGTACCTCAGATTTAAGTGGTATTCCAAATCTTGAGAGGTTTATTCTTTGGGATTGTAAGAATTTAGTTGAGATACATCCATCTATTGCAGTCCTCAAAAGACTTGAGGTTTTGAACCTTGGTAACTGTGAAAGCATTAATAGCCTCCCAAGTAAGGTTGAAATGGATTCTCTTGAATATTTCTTTCTTAATGGCTGCTCAAATGTGAAAAAGATTCCAGAATTTGGGGAGCAGATGAAGAATGTATTGCGGATTCACTTAGATGGGACTGCGATCGAGAAAATACCTTCATCAATTGGACATCTGGTTGGCCTCAGGGAATTGCATGTAAGGAATTGCAAAAATCTCTTGAACCTTCCAAGGGCGATTTGTAATTTGAAGTCTCTTGAATGGCTCTATGTGAGTGGATGCTCAAAGATTGACAAACTCACTGGAGACATGGATCACTTAGAGGCACTTGACTGGAGACCCACTATGACAGTCGCTTGTGAGTATGAAAAATCTCAAAAGTCTAGTATTTAAGACAAATTCTGACATAGCCGCTTGTGGATCGGATGGTATAGCAAGGGATGGGTGGGGCCTTCGCCGCTTATTTGGACTTGAAAAGAGTCGCCCTGATCCTCCGCCTTGTTGGGGTTTGGTGTTGTCTTCTCTAAATCGTTTATGCTATTTGACAAATTTATCTCTAGAGAATTGTAATCTTCGGGAGGGGGATATCCCCGATGATATTGGCTGCTTGTCCTTATTGGAAAAATTGTGTCTTAGTAGAAATAATTTCGTCAGTCTACCTGAAAGCATTAGACACCTTTCTAAGCTTAAGATTCTTCGTCTGGAGGGGTGTAAAAGCCTTCAAAAATTGCCACCTCTTCCATCAAACAGAGGATTAACAGTAAAACTGAACAATTGCACTTCCTTACGAAGGATTTCAGGTGCATTCAATTTGTATGATGCTAGTGTCACTTGCTGGAATTGCATTGTATTGGTTCCAGATGAAGACTTGATTAATAGGATTCTAAAATTTGTCATTCAGGTACTCCTCTCTCTCTCTCTCTCTCTCTCTCTCTCTCTCTCTCTCTCTCTCTCTCTCTCTATATATATATATATATATATATATATATAATTGATCTTTCTTATGCTGCAGGGATCGGAAATTGTAATCTTTGGAAGTGAAATTCCAAAGTGGTTCAATAATCAGAGTGTGGGACATTCACTAAATGTGGAACTTCCTCCACTATCATGTACCAACTGGCTTGGGATTGCCTTCTGTCTTGTTTTTCAATTCCAAGGCCCTAGACAAAATGTGGAGCCTACTTATTGGTATTGGATCATAAGACTACGTTCAGGGAGATTTGTTGGCCATAAAATACGTGGCATGCTATTCCATTGGAATACCTTATGTAATACGTCTCCTGTGTTAGAAAACCTTTGGGTATTTTATTTACCTCGTAAATATTGTTTTCCTCGTGAAGATTATCATCAAGATCAGTTTTTATTCCAAATTACCACTAATTTTGAATTTGAGAGATACCTAATAGCAGACTTGGAAAAGGTGAAGAAGTGTGAGGTGAAGAAGTGTGGGGCTCGTTTGGTGTACGAGCAAGATTTGAAAGAACTCAATCAAAAACTACTGAAACGAACACGCGAAATTCGTGATGAGGCAGCTCTAAGTGGATCTGGAAGTGCTAGCTTCAACGACACAGAACAAATTCACAAAAGGCGTTGTAACTAGTCACCATGTCACAAAAAATGCGTGTAAGTAACCATCGATTAATCACATCAGCTTAATTGTCATCAAAATTATTTTTTGTTTCGACATCCTAGTCAATGTAATCAATCTCTCGATCTATATATTAAGATGGCTATATTTACTGAAAGGCGAGTGGATAAGAATGTTGATGTATAAACACTTTTGCAGATTACTTTGGTATTAAGAAGATTGATTAACAATCTGATCATCTTGCCTAATGCAGCATGTGGGTACCTTGGAAACTCGCGACGCCATGGGGGCTGCTCTGTCAGTCCTGATCTTAAGGTTCATTTTCTGAAGGCGCCATTGGCGTTAACATGTACACCAGGGGTTGAATTCAAATATCTGTACTCTGGCAGAAATTGATTTGTTTCTGTCTGATTTTGTAACTAATGCAAACTTGTAGTGCAGAAACAGAAACGTTGCTAAGGAAACAACACTTTTTGCTCAACAACTTTGGTTTGATTAAAACTTGGCTTTGGTGATGCAAAAAACAAGCATTGAGAGTATTTTTCCTGAGATCATTGGAATGGTTGTTGTAAAACTTAGAACAGCAAATCATACTAATTTTTTTAAAGCCCTTTTTACACGGTAGTTTTGAAGTTTAAACTTTAAAACAGCAAATCATACTTTTTTTTTTTTTTAAATTTTCAAAAGCAAATCATACTAATTAACTCAGCTAAGAAATATTCAAATAATCCCCGGGCAAGCTGACAGATTGTAGCACAACTGGAAGCTTGGACACCAGCAGTTTAAATCGAGATGAAGATAACCCTTCGTGAATAAATCAGCAATTATCTTGTGAACAAATAAAATTCACCAGTAGCTCACCTCTAATCACCTTCTCCCTGACAAAATGATAATCAACTTGTAAGTGCTTGGTTCTTGAGTGGAAAACTGGATTGGATGCTAAGGCAATGGAAGACAAATTATCACACCAAATCTGTTATCTTAGAAGATTCTAATGTATGTCCCTAAACTACGAACATAACCAAGGCAACTCAGCGGCAGTGTATGCAAGCTGCCTATATTCAGCTTCAGTGCTAGAACTGGAAACTGTTTTCTGTTTCTTCGAACTCCATGATATTAAGTTTTTACCCAAGTATACACAGACGCCTCCAGTTGAATGGCGTGTGTCTAGGTTCTCTACATAATCCGAATCAGAGAAAGCAGTCAATTGTACACCTCCAGGTCTATAAACAAGACCCTGATCATAGGTAGCCTTCAAATAACGTAGGATCCTCTTAACTGCCATCCAATGAGTGTTGTTGGGCGAATGCAAGGACTGACACACTTGGTTCACAACATAAGAAAGATCAGGTCTCGTAATGGTCAAATAATGTAGGGCACTTACAACACTTTAGTATAATTCAATCCCCAAAAGCACTCAGTTTTTGTCCAGAAGAAACTGGAGTCGAGATTGGCTTGGCATGGTAAATTTAATGCATTTGATCACCAGAGCAAGTTAATTCAACACCTAGGAAGTAGTTGAGAGGACCCAAGTCCTTCATGAAATCCCAATTGAAGCAAGAAATCAGAAAATCTCTGAAACCAAGCTCTCGGTGCTTGTTTTAACCTATATAAACTGCGCTGCAACTTGCAAACATGGTGTAGGTACTGCTTGTCAATGAAACCCGCTGGTTGTTTCAGATAAACTTCCTCAGTGAGATAACCATGCAAGAAAGCGTTCTGGATGTCCAACAGCCTTACATGCCCCTTCTTTGACACTGCCAAACCAAGCACAAGCCGAATGGGACTGTGCTTTACAACAGGACTAAAAGTCTCGTTGCAGCCAATCCCTGGTTTTTGATGAAAACCATTGGCCATAACCTCGCCTTATGTCTCTCGATCGAACCATATGCACGTCGTTTTATCTTGAATACCCACTAGTTTGGAAGAAGATTCATGGTGGGATGATAAGGAACAAGGCTCCAGGTAGGTACCATAGCGCTGCAAAGCACTAAATTCTTGACCGGCAGTTTTCTCAAGAAAGAAGATTCATGTTAAGCTACTAAACTTCAAATTCAATGATAAATACCGCGTCTGAGACTCGTTATCTTCAAACAATTGCCTGCCGGAACCAGCGCGAGGACCAAATTCGAAACCTATCAACATTTAACTTACAATTATCTAAATGTTCTCTTGTATTTACCAACTCGTAAAAACTCGGAATAATGTTCCTTTAAATTTGTTATCAAATACCTGAAAATAAGGAAGCATATCAACTAGGGGGCTAGTTGATCTGATTCCCGTTCCTTACTTTTTATATTGTGTTTATGAACCGCCTTGGTAGGAGTCATGGCCTAATCCTAAGTGAAATTGTCACGTATATAGGGCCAATGTTTTAATGTTTAGGCTACCAGGCAATGTAGACCAACCTCTTATGACAACTGTTGAATTGAATCTAGAAAGTCAGAAGTGAAAAAACATTTTCTCATGTTGCTACCAGCTACGAATCAGATATGATCAATTGAAGAAAGAAGATAAGATCGATGAATGATTAAGCGAAACTTGACCTTAGAACCAATGAAATGCGACCTAGAAGCTTTGTTACACAAAAGTACTTTGAAGACCTCTTTTTCTGCTTCCATGCTTACTTTTGCTATAGGTCTTGAGGACTAGAGCAATGTTGACCAACCTCTTGTGACAAATGTTGAATAGAATTTAGAGTCAGAAGTGACAAAAATATTTTCTTATATTGCTACCAACTACAGATCAGATACGATCGGTTGAAGAAAAAGATAAGATTGATGAATGATTAAACGAGATTTTACCTTATATACCAATAAAATGTGACTGAGAAATTTTATTACGACCTCTTGCTTCTGCTATAGGTCTTGAGGACTAGAGGTGATCTTGACCAATCTCTTGCCTCCTCCCAACCCTCACCCAATTGAATGTAGCCATCAAATTTTGAGTCATTCCAACAATTGCTCTTGCTTGCAAAGAATGAAGTTAATTCGTCAGCAACTGCATCATGCACGGTGTTATCTTCAGCCGTCCACTCTTTTTCAAACCACTGAGGTTTGGCTTTAGTTAGAGGTCATCAAACCACTGAGGTTTGGCTTTAGTTAGAGGTCATCAACATCAAGATGCCCAATCGAGAAATGTCAAAAACTCTGGACACGTGTAAGGCTACTTTACCAACACCTAATGCATTGCATGTCAATATACATGACCTGGATCGATCTCAATGGTTAATTATTCTTCGATTGCATTGTTAATCAACTTTGTTAAAATAATGACACAGTTCAGCTACTGGTATTGAGTCGCAGACAAACGACCACCGATTCCCTTAATTTTATAATTATTAAATTGTTAGTGCTAAGAATATACATAATATATCCCTTCATGCTAGAGCCTCTTTTGTCTTTGTCCTATCGTTCTAGAGTCTTCTTAAGGGAGGGGTCAATTCGATTCCCTTGGGGTAGATTTACAGTGTTAATCCCTTATACGTACTTGTATTTTTCTTCTAGCGATAATCTTAGTTCAATGCTTGTTCGGCGAGTTTTCATGTGTTGATAACTAAGAACCCGAAAACGAAACAATTATCAAACTATCATTGACTAGAAACAGTAGTAATATTTATGATAAAAGATATATATTATTTTGTACAAAAATATGTGATTGTCAGTGTAGATAATATTATTTATTCAAAAAAATGTAAACATAAAAATATATATAGTGTATTCTTTAGAGCTCTCTCTCTCATGATATTTACATTCATACCATCATACTACTAAATGACAATTTTTTTTTTCTTTTCTTTTTGGTTAACATAGAACAAATAAAGGATTCCACCTGAAAAAATTTAGGGCACAACGGATTAAATGAAATTATGAAATGAAGCGTAAGAACAGAAAAACGAAACAAGAAACTAAAAAGTGGAAAGAAAAAAAAAACTAATAGGAAGAATCACCCCCTTAACTAGAACCTCATCTCTCGTTTGAACACGAAAGATGAGATATAAATACAATATTATTATTATTATTATTATTTATGAGAATTTTTGAATGAGGATTCTCTTCGGATTCTTTTTGTGAGGGTTTCGGAAATCTTCAAATCACATTCGTTCATTGTACATCTTGCAATAAGTTTTCGTCAGATACTGTTTATATTTAATTTTAAATAAAAAATTACAATAATTTATGATCGCACGATATACGATGAACATATGTGATTAAAGGATTTCCAGAATACTCACAAAGAGGATCTCCTCATTCATAATTTTCATGAATTGGGCACGTGCATAGGTATGATTTAAACCAAAGTTAAAATACTATTTTTCTAGTAATTGTTATGGATTTGGATCCTCCTGACTGGTCGGGATCTTCCTGATCAGTGTTAGTGGACTATTGGATTTTTATCAAACGACTACAAATAGGAAGGACCCTTTAAAAGTTATAATAATTGTAGCTATTACATAAAAATCTAACGATTCACTAACATCGGTTAGGAGGATCCCGACCACTTGCCTCGAAGAGGATCCAAATCCAAATGTTATGGACACATAAAAATACACGTCTCGTAACAGCATATCCCTTACTCGCACGGGGCATATTCGCTGGCCAATAGAAACCCGCCACGTATGTTGGTATGATGGTGTAGCGTACATGATGATCATATACATTTCGCCATCATCATCGATGATTCATTCATTCAATCACCTTCCCAAAGCGGAAAGGACGAATGGGCCCGGAGGCTGCCAATAGCAGGTGGGACCCACACGGATCACGAGCCAAGTGGGGAGAAGATGGATGAGCGGAGCCAGGAAGGAAGGGAAGGAAGATATATTGCTGGCACAGCGTTGCGCCACGTCGCTTAAACACAATATTTGAGATGTGATGACTCGATTATTATTAACTTATGTATATCTGGAGCTGCTCGCTGATTGGCTGGTGGAGGAAGAAAATATCTTGGCGCGATGCTCAGCCACACACACGACCACGAGATATTTGTGTCCCTGACGGACCGCCAAGCGCTGCTGCCCGCTCCTTCGCACCCACGCATCCCTCCACGCGTCGCTCTCTTTTGTAACGTGCTTTTCTCGGCCACATCTGAGCTGCCGGGTTTTCCTATGAGTTGCATAAGCTGGAATTACCGGAGGTTTGGGGAACTTCTGGCAATTCCAGTTTATGCAATTCATTATTTTTGGCGGGGTTGAAACTCGATAGCTTAGCTGTGGTCCTAACAATTTAATGTTAATTTTTGTATCAATATTATAAACATTATGTTAAAAATATGAATTGACAAATAGTTCATAGAGGGTTCCATCTTTGGAAGAATTTCCTTTAGCATTTCTCAATTAAAACTTATCCAACTAAAATAAAAAACTATTTTAAGTAACTTTCATTCTGTTTTTGAGAAATACTAAGAAAATTCTCTCAAAGTAGAACTCACCATAGACTTTCTGTCACTTACAATATAATGTTAATTTTGGTACCAAGGTTATAAAATATTATGCAAAAAACATGTGGTGACAAAGAATCTATGAAGA